ATTATTTTAATGTCACTGTGGTGGTTGGTAAGGAATGAGGGTTATAGTGCAACAATGCTATTTGTATGTGGGAAGATTTAGAATGTTATTAACGAAGGAAAGAAAAAAAGAAATTATTATTTTTATTGATAGTGTCTGGAGGCCTAACATTACAAATACAAACAATATGTAACACAACAAACAAAAAGATACCTACTATAAGTATAATATTATGCATCACGCATCTTTGTACACCACCATTACACCAGAACTAAGAGAACTAAAAAAATATTAATATTCACTTATTTAATATCCTTCGGATACAATATGCATTATTTAATATGCACAAAATTTGTATTAAATATTATACATATTTTTTATTTATTTATTTTTTCCTCGAATTATGATCAAATTTAAAAGTGGTCAGCAGTCTTATATTGTTTTAATTTTTTTTTGTACAATTCTACAGATTCATTATCTCTTTGGCTTGGAATTAGTAGGTAACTACATAAAACTTGATTATAAAAGTAACTTAATTAAAATATTTCCAGAATTCCAAATTGTGACATACAGTGAACTCATAATGGAGAAGAAAATTTTTGACGCGAGCCATCCTTTCCTATACTTCTTCAAGATTAAAAATCAACTTGTATTTAATGGAGCCTTCCATGAATAGTTCAACAGAAAGGTGCTAGTACGTTTAAGTTTTCTGCATTAGTACGAAAAATGGGCTTAATAGGCTATAATTTATACCTTACTGGACTTTACAGACTATAATAATGTAATGCTTTTTAATCTGGACAAAAATATGTATTTTTTAACGTACACTTCATCAAAATATAAGTACTTACTGGTTGATATTTTATTAGAACTTTTTAGATACGGACATTTTGTTTAAATACTACAATATCCGCCACTTGCACTAAAGTGAAAAAAAATAGATCAGTTAAGAAAAGTTTGATAACTTTAGGAAAATGGTCATAATCATAACTATTGAACAAATCTTTGACGTTCATTGCAGCTTTCGGCATAGAAGCAGCAAGTTACATTATCCCCAAAGAATTCCGCGCCAACAAGCCGTTTTACTTTGCATTGAAGCAAAATCATCTAAACGTTTTCAACGGCGTTGTAGTGGACCCTTCAAACACTAATTAGTGTAACATGTACGGTTTAAATTTTTGTCTTTTGCCTGCACTAGATTTAGTTTACTCTTGATTTTCTATATGGTATAAGTATTTCGGCCATTTTAATTTTACTTTACATTCATTATCATTAATTTACGCACATGTTTGTTTTTTGATCATTTCTTAACATTTTTTTCTGTTGATCAAACACTACATTATCCACTATTTGTACTAAAGTGCAAAAAACATAAAAATAGAACAATTAAGAAAAGTTTGGATAAAAAACTTTAGAAAAATGGTCATAACTATTGAACAAATCTTTCATTGCAGTTTACGGCATAATGGTAACAAGTTGCCTTCAAACGCTAATTAATGTAACATGTACGATTTAAATTTTCTCTTTTGCCTGCTTTAGGTTTAATCATTTATAATCTTTTTAATCTTTGATGTTTGACGTTCATTGCAGCTTTCGGCATAGCGCCAGCAAGTTACATTATCCCCAAAGAATTCCGCGCCAACAAGCCGTTTTACTTTGCACTGAAGCAAAACCATCTAAACGTTTTCAACGGCGTTGTAGTGGACCCTTCAAACACTAATTAGTGTAACATGTACGATTTAAATTTTCTCTTTTGCCTGCTTTAGGTTAAATTTTACTAATTTATTTTATAAATATAATTATGTATATTTATTTATTGCGGTTATTTTCGTTTACTCTACATTCAATATAATTCATAAAGCATCTGAATGACTCATTTCGTTTTCATTTTATTTTTCACTTATGGTTTTTCTAAATCTTTTGGCACATTAGTAAAAAAATATGTATATATTTAATGGCTAAATACTTACTGATGAACTTAGGATACTACGATTATCTAAGATTTAAGAATATGGAATGATATGTAGAGAGATGTTAAATATGGAAAGATAATAATAAGAAGTTGGTTTGACTTTTACAAATGGTAAACGAAGTAAGATATATGTATAGCAGTGCAATTTGACATCAATAAGCCAATAAATTAATGATTGTTTATTTCAGAGTACGGCATCATAGTACCGACTATGTTAAAACAGAAGTCTCTATTTGACGCAGACAGGCCATTTTACTTCGAATTAAAACATAAACACGTTACCCTCTTCAATGGAGTTGTAGTAACACCATAAGAAATAAAATAGGTAAAATTGTGTTTGGTTAGAAAAGTTTTTATATTGATTGCAAGAAATTTATACACATTGGGCTTATACAATGTATTAGCCCAATGTGTATAAAAATTTGGCTCGGTTCGCATTTCGAAGCATGCAAAATAAATTCAAAATTAAAATACATTAACTCTGTAGAAGCTTAAGTTTGAAAAGGGTTATTAGTAATAAATATAAGTTTGGGACTAGAGTACTTACGAGTAGGTACACATTACAAGGATATTTATTTATTTATTCTTATTTGCATTATTTTTAAAAAATAAACCTGTTTATATTAATAAAACCAACAATCGAAATCATCAAATATAGCATGATATTACCACATTTTCATAAAATTAATTGATATACATTTTTATAGATGCAGCCATAAACTATTATTTTTATTACTTTATTCAGCTAAACTTTTTAAAGAGATTTATTCATTTAAAACATGATTAAACGTGGTTACATACGGAATATAAAATAAATGGAGTAGGTACCTATTTGTTAATATTTCGCCAAAAAATATAGGTTTTAATTGCTACTCCATTCATCCTGATTAGTTGAAATAGCGACTGTTTGACTTATTAAATGGCCTGAAAAACTGTTAACTTTTAATATTAACTATTTACACACAAGCGAGTAAAATTAAAACCAAGCGCATTTTTTGTGGACTTTTACGCCCGTATTCACAAACGATGCTTGCTTAAGTGAAGCAGCAAATCGAACGCAGTGTTAAATAGAGCTCTGTGATTGGTTCGTGCGTCACCCTGTGCGTCCACGCGCACTGTGAAAGCTCATAGTAATGTTTGTGTTTACGGGAGTTAATAAACGAGTATAAAGTTTACACATTGATGAGTAAATTTAAAACTAAGCACATTTTTTAATTCTTATTTTGTTTCTAGCGTTCCACGCTGTCGGATATAGCCTTATCATAAAGCCGAAGACTGTTTTCGACGCCAACCATCCTTTTCTCTACCACCTTAAGATTAAAGATCAAGTTATGTTCAGCGGAGCCTTATATGAATAGTTAATTCATATTAGGTATTGTAACGTGTGTTCGTATTTTAGCATGATATGTGCTAATCAGTGGTTGTAATAAATACTAGTAGTTAGTATGTGTACATAACTCATGATACAATATTACACTTTCCATACAAATGTTGAGGATGTACAGCCGCCAGCACATAAAACTATGTACTTACTCCAAAGTGTCATAGTGCCTATATTCCTTTGGCGTCAATTTATTGACATTGTTTTACTGTCGACTGTACATAATCAGTGCCGTAACGTTTTCTGGTTCATAACAAGACAATTACTTAAAACTGTGTGTGTTTATGTGTTTTACTTATTCACTCATTCATTAAAATACTTAATTGATATTATCACAATATAAACAATTGACTGAAAGCAGTAATAAAAAATAATATAAGTAAAAAACAAAACTCGTAGTTACTACCTACTACAAAAACTAGAACCAACTACAGTGCAATTAATTTGCATACCATTTTCGACTTTAACAAAAGGCCATAAAAATATTAATTGATTGCAGTTTACCAAGTAGAGCGGATGGAAACACTGCCTATCAGCTTCAAGGCCGACCATCCCTTTATATTCGCTCTGAGGGAAAATAAAACTACATTATTTACCGGAAATTTCCTATCTTAGGTACCTTCTATTTATTAGGCTTTCGTGGTTACCCAGCTGCTATTTTTTATGCTGACTTGCACGATGATTGATAAAAATCATACATTTTACTTAAAACAATCATCCAACCAACCATCTGACACAGAACATTTAACATGAGATATACCTACATAGACATATAATTACCTATTTGCAAATCGCAAAAAAATGCAATTAACTACAAGAAATAACAAAAAGAATCGGTCGTTGAATCAATTTATTCATATCAATAATCATACATAACATTTTATAATTTTAATAAATTCAAAATGTTATGTATGTCATATATAGAATTAAAATCTTATAATCAGTCGATTAGTTCGTGACCAGTTTTTTTATTTTCATGTTCATTCCAAGAAAATTATAAGTTATTGATATTGTTTAGTGTACAGTCACAATGACTATTCGAACAATTTTTTAAAAAACGTGGAATATTGTCAAATAATTACCTTGTAACAATGTTTCTTGTGAATATTTAAAAGGTATTCCTACCCTGCATAGACGAAATTTCGAAGGATTCACACAGTGTATATTAAGTAGCTCCGAACAACATCAGTGTAATTTGCATTTTAGACTTTAATGGAAGGTCATAAAATTATTGATTGATTGCAGCTTACTACGTAGACCGGATAGATTCGGTGGACGACATTTCAATACCAATCACCTTCAAGGCCGATCATCCCTTTATATTCATTCTGAAGCATTATGAAACTTCATTATTTACCGGAATGGTCCTATTTTAGGTATCTATTTATTAGGCTTTCATGGTTAACTGGCTGCTTTCTGTTTCTCAAGTTCTCAACTGACCATAACTATTTCTAATATAATTATTTCGTTAACAGCACAATATTTTTAATTTTTATTAATACTAAAAAATATATTTTATTTTGAATCCAATGATCTATGACAAATTTTTGGTAACGGCAACTACATAATAATATTACTTTTGTTAAATAAATAAAAAATATGAAAGACTGGACGTCTCTCGAGTAAAAATGTTGTGGGGACATAATATTTGTTCATATTTATTTACAGCTTTCGGCGTAGCGTATGCAACTTCAGTCGACTACTTCCCGCCGTTACCTAAACAATTCAAAGCTGATCATCCATTCTATTTTATTCTAAAGCACCAGAAAAACACATTATTTATCGGGATGGTCCAATTTAAGGTATCCATTCTAGGCTTCTATGCTAGCTTGCTGCTTACTGGACTAACTCACAAGATGACACTACTTATATTTCGTTAACCGCACAATATTTAACTATCAACACAAAAATACACTGTCTTGTCAAAAATTTTACGAACATAAAAACTAGAGATGAAACGGATATCCGGTAACTATCCGGTAGGCCGGATATCCGGCCTAAATTTACTATCCGGCCGGATACCGGATAGTAACTCACTATCCGGCCGGATACCGGATATTAAAAAACTACGACACTTTCTTATAATTTTATTTTTTATTTTATTTTATTTATTTAAAGGCACAACCACAGAATACAATTCAATAAAATTACAATGATAACTTATCTAGGTTTCACATTTAAATTATATTCCTATGAATGTTGCACACAGCATTTATATAAGAATAATTAAGATATGGAGCTTGAACAGGTTAAATATCAGTGCCTACGTTTACTTAATGCATAATTCAATTGATTTTTTAAATGAGTAAAAATTTTGAAAATATATATCTAAATTGGTGGCATTATCATTATAATAATCTGCACATTCGAAACAGAGGGTTATTATATGCTACATTGTTAATTATCTAAAAAATTACGGGAGCTACTGTTCAAGTACCCCAATTTAATAAAATGAAATACATTCATCTTTGAAGTAAATATCAATAAAAAGGCTTATAATAAGTAATAACGGCGTATGATTAAAGTCCAAAAAGATACAAAAAAAAGCCATATTAAGGCCTTTCAAAAATCTTTTCTTTTTCATGGCTATTCACTCTAATGACGAATCTATACTTCTATACTTAATATTATAAATGCGAAAGTAATTCTGTCTGGCTTTCACACCTAAACCACTGAACCGACTTTGATGAAATTTGGCATAGAGATAGTCCCGGGAAAGGAGATAGGATAGTTATTATCCCGGTTTTTGAAACAGGGACACGCGCGATAAAGTTTTTCTGTGACAGACAAAATTCCACGCGGGCGAAGCCGCGGGCGGAAAGCTAGTACTAAATAAATAAATATCTGTTAATGTCCGAAATATAGCCAATTAAAATAGGCGATCTTTTATTCACTGATGGTCTGATGACATGATGCAGTTCAGTCAGATTACGAAGCAAGTAAACTAATTTAAATTTTCCCTATTCAACCACACACTCACGATGGCAACCGAAATCGCTCGAATTGATCTGCCCCCTAGACAAGTGGCAAAATCTGACATTCTATTCGGTCGGATACGGATTCGATTTTCGAAAAGTGTGACTTGTCTACTAGACCCACTGATCGCGTTCGAAGCACCTGGCGGCGCTCAACTCGTCATGACATACAACGAGACAATGGGCCAACTATCCGGCCGCCGGATATCCGGTATCCGGTATCCGGCCAAACCACTATCCGTTTCATCTCTAATAAAAACCTATCATAAATACCCTCTTTTTGCAGATCACAAAAAATTACAACAAAATTTATAATTTCACTTTACTCTGTTCGTTGTTAAATTGTTCGTAATAATTTATTTTATTTTCATGTTCATGTCACTATTTAATTTTATTTGCAAAAAAAATCCTAGTCTTAACAAATAATTATTTTGAAATATTTACAGCATTTATTGTCTCGGTAGAGTCACTTTCTCGCACCGAGTCTTTTGAAGCTGACCATCCGTTCATGTTTATACTAAAAGAAAAGAAAAATACACTTTTCATCGGAGCCGTCTACTTTTAGGTATTATTCAAAGATTAAAAATACTTAGCTTTATGTTTAAATTGCACGATAAATGATAATGTAGCTGCATTTCACGCAAATAAGTGTCAATTTATATTCTTCATCTTTTTACTTTTTTTTTCATTATTTTTGTTCAAACGATCATAGCAAATGTTGTGATAGCGATTTTTGGTTTTACAAAAGTAATACGATAGAGAATAATACAAATCAACACAAAAATACCCTCTTTTTGCAGATCACAAAAAATTACAATTGGTAACAAAAGACTTAGTGTAATTTCACTTTATGTACTCAAATTGCTCGTAATAATTTATTTTATTTTCATGTTCATATGTCACTATTTAATTTTAAAATCCTAGTCATAAACAAATAATTATTTTGAAATATTTACAGCATTCATTGAGTCGATAGAGTCAATTTCTCGCACCGAGTCTTTTGAAGCTGACCACCCGTTCATGTTTATACTAAAAGCAAAGAAAAATACACTTTTCATCGGAGCTGTCTACTTTTAGGTATTATTCAAAGATTAAAAATACTTAGCTTTATGTTCAAATTGCACGATAAATGATAATGTAGCTGCATTTCACGCAAATAAGCGTCAATTTCTATTCTTCTTCTTTTTACTTTAAGGGCAATGATTGAAAAAAATATGTTTGAATGATCAAACGAACTTACCAAGTGAAGTTCGATCTAAATTATCCTGCTGGGTAACATCTCGCATTACCTCGGAGAAAAAAATGGCTACTGGGTAACATCTCGCATTACCTCGGAGCAAAAGAATGGCTACTGGGTAACATCTCGCATTACCTCGGAGCAAAAAAATGGCTACTGGTTAACATCGCGCGTTAACTTGGAGCTAAAAATGGGTCAAAGTTACGCGTCGTGTCACAACGCTTATAATAAAAATGTACGAGCACTTGCACAAAATAGTTGTTACAACCAACCTTTTGTTGGGTCTAATTCTCGTCACTACACTGCACAACTTAAAATAATTACGTTTTTTGTCGGTAAAAACGTCCTGGTGACGTCACTTAAGCATTTTTCTTATACTGCGTGCGGTCGTTGCGCGTGCGCACAAAGGAATGAGACCGCTCGGACACCGAGCCCACAGCGTGGTAGGGGTGGAGTTGCCCGCTCTTTTGTTTTTTAATACTACTACGCTGAATATTGTGTGCGGATTGGGTTGTCGTACAGGGGTACTACATGGTAAAATAAATCTCGGAGGCGAAAGCAGGATAATTTAAAACAAAAAGTCAATTTTGTGTTTTCTGCATTCATAAAAGATAGATACTTTTATGCAGAAAACACAAAATGATCAATATTAATTACAACATATGGCAGCGCTGACATTAAACATTCAACAAACTCAGTCACTGTCTGCCGGCTTAAATATGGAATAGAATAGAATAGATTTTTTTTTATTTGAAAGAATAATGGCTTATGAAAATTTGAAAACTAGTAACAATAAACAACAAAAAATCAAAAGGACTTAATATTTCTGCTGCAGAAAGCAGATAAATATCACAAATTGGGAACGGCGCAATTATTATATTATATTAGTCTAATAACTAAAAAATAATCGTTGAATGTTGTTTGATGACCGAGTAGGTCTGAAAATAGGTCATAAACTGTTTTTCATACCCCTCCCAGTGCAAGTGCAGTGCAGTCCAGTCAGTTAGTATTATTACAAAGTGAAATCATTTTTGTTCGTATTTACAGCTTTCGGCGTAGCATTTGCAACTTCATTTGTCAACTTCAAGCCGGTACCCAAAGAGTTCAGAGCTGATCATCCATTCTATTTTATTCTAAAGCATCAGAAAAACACATTGTTTACCGGAACAGTATCAAACTTTTAGTTTCAGGTATTTAACCATAAAATAAAATATCTACATAAAAAACTAATTTATTTTTAGGTTGTGTATTGCATGGTAACTCACTAAATTTATTAAGCGTGTGAATTAATTTTTCGATTTTATAAACAAAAAATAATTAATATTTTTGAATTGACTAGTGTAGTTACTCGTAGGTAGATTTTAGGTCCAAATAGAATAGAAAGTTATAAAAACTAAGCTATAAGTAGTCTGACTGAAGTAAACCGACTTGCACTTTGAAGAAAGACCTCGCTATATCCAGACTTTTAATTTTAATATTGTATTACCATCTTCTACCTGAATACTGGGTCCATTTGTGCTATTATAGCAGAAGAAACTGTTTTTACTTACCTTTGAGAAAAAAAAGAATTTGACCACAGTGCACTTATTCTGAAGGTCACATCTATGCACAGAAGACTTAGTAATTTAGCCAGCCTTCATCCGAAACTGAAGGTGAAGAATGAAGATGGTATAAAAAAAAAGATCATTTTTTTATGACCACACCTCCGGTTTGATTTTAGGATCATTCTAATTTTCTTTTCAAGTATGAACAATAATGAACATACAGGCTTAACTAGAAAATGATCACACTCAAGCTAAAAATCTTAATTTAGAAACCGGGGGATAGTCTGTAATTTCGTTCCGTATTTTCAACATTTGAAAAATAAGTCGAATACAAATTCTTCGAAACCCGTATATTTAGATTTTTTCAGACTTCATTATTAGTATTGCATTTTTTTATGAAAACTCCAAATAATTAAACGTTTAAATCACAAATAAGAAGAATAGAAAAGAATTTGTCTTATTTACAGAATACGGCATAACGTTGCTATCGTCTGCCGTCTCTCCGGAGCCGATCAAATTCAAAGCTGATCATCCGTTCTTGTTCGTTCTTAAGGAACAGAAAAATACTCTTTTTACTGGAGCTGTCTACTTTTAGGTAAAATAGCGCCCAATTTTTGGGCTCTAATTTAAAATTAATTGTGTTGCGATAGTGTTGCTCCTTCTTGCCCAGTTCTTTGGTCATTGTAGATACCATACCTTTAAAAACCGTAGGACAAATGGAAAAAGTATAGAAGTGCCTTTCATGCAACGAACCGTTTTTAACTTGGTGGTTGACTTTAAACGCTATAAGACTGTGCTTGGGTCTCTCTAGGGTACAGTAATTTGTATTACCTACCGTACATCACGATATTTGTCGTGAGGTAAACGAGCGAGATGGTTGAACCATCGAAAATTGGATTTCCACTTCATTCTTGCCTTAAAATGATTTCACGCCTCTATATGTCACCATATTTAATCTGTTAGATATTGGCTTTTATTTGTCTCGTCGTTTTTAACTGCTTCTATCTTTATTGTTTGTTAATTTTTAAATTACTGAATCAATTGAACTAGGTACTAATTTACCATACTAAATAACTAATAGGTAGTAGATGTAACGTATAAAGTAATAAGATTTAGATCCTATATTTTTTAAGTTAGCTTCTAGAAACTGTAATCTAACCAGTACATAGGTACTTATTTATTTTGTGATCTAACCCATGTTTAGTGAGCCACCGTGCAAAGCCCTACATTTATATTAGTTTTTCCACGCTTAATGCACTTAGATATAAAAACTATTCTACTTAAAATAAAACTTTTTCAAAATCTTTCCAAATTCTTCAATAATCTTAATTCGAATTGGTAACCTTTATGTTTCCGTTTTAACCACGGGGAATTTTCAAAAGGCCTTTTTTCAAAATTGTTCAACTACCTACTCTTCTAAGCTGCGTTATGTGACAAATAGAACAACAAAAGCACACAAAAAAATAAATAAAGATCATTTTGATAAAAAAAAAACACTTAATTTCATAATAAAAATATATAAAAGTGCGAATACTGGTGCGAATAACATAGAAAAGATATTTTAAACATTGCACTTACTTAACTATTACTCTATTTATTTATACACATACTCATGTGTGTATAATATGTTACATAAAAAATAATTTATTTTTTATGTTTTTCATCGATAAACTTTAAAGTATCACCTTATTTTTTTCTCATTAATTATCTTGAAATACCTATCTTATCTTAATCTCCTTCCTACTTATTATTATTCTGTCTTTACTGCTTCTCTTCTACACTCCTCAAAATACACAGCACAAAGCGCATGTTTGGTTTTTGGTCTGTTTTATGTGTTTTGCTTTCGCATGTTCTCTTGAATGGTGCATGACCTGGGAATGGACTTTCAATTAGATATTTTATTAGGCACTTATCTATGAAAATGCTGAAATATCCTAAATTCCTATAAAAGTTTCGAGTTATGAATCTTTTAATATTATTTTCAGTTTCTTTATTGTGTTATTTTAAGTTAGGTAATTTAATTTCCAAAATATTTTAAAATAAATATTTAAACATAAAGATACTTGGATTCTTATACCTTAAGGCTATTTATAGATAAGCCCCTAATATTTTGTGCTACTCATAGTACTCTACATAGAAAATATTTCTTTTTATGAAGATTTATAATGAGATACAAAAATATTTTAACACTCGAGTACTATGTGTAGTTGTTGGGTATTGTATGTTTTGAAATGGTTTGTGTTCATCACATCATCATTTTAAATGGTTTGATTAAACATCTGTATAAATTTTTTTTTTAAAAAACTGAATTTATATCTTTGAGCAAAAAAGTGTCAGACTCGGTTATTTTTAATATCTCAGTTCATTTTGTTTATTGAAATAAATAATTTCATTGAAACCATTTGAAATGTGTTGTGGCTTGCGCATTCTTGGTAACATAAACGCTTAGCAATGGGCTTACTCAAGAAACTGTTTCAATTTCAAGTAAGAGTTTGTTTGTGTTGAAACAGATGGTACAGTCAACAGCACATCCAGCTAAATACATAATACGATCTTGTGTAGAGGCCATTTTGCAACAAAAATATAGTCTGATATGCTGTTGACTGTACTTTTATTATAAAATAGGTAATTACAGCTCGTTACTGACTGATAAGTAAAATGTATTGTTTTTTATTTTTTTAAATTAAATTATGAACTCCATAAAAATACTAAAGTTAACCCCTCAACTTGTGACTATGAAATAGATAATTAATCTATATTTTATATAACAATACGTTTTTTCTTTCTTTGTCTTAAGTTAAATAAATATATTTTGCATTATCTGTGACATAATAGTCGTAACGTAACTTGGATCTCATTATACATTTTAAAAAACTCACCAAATAAGTATCAGTCTGTATTGGGCTTTAAAATTAATGTTTATTTCATAATTTCGTGATTATTAACGTATTTTTATGTTTTCAGGAAATTTGACAAATGAAAATTATCATTGTAATAATAATAATGAAGACTGGATGAATTTGCCATTTATTGGTTTTAATAAATTTGATACTTTTAAAACATTGTTTTATTACTTAATCCCATAATTTTTAGGCTGAGTTGCACCACCTAACTTTAACAGTTATTTTATGGATAACCGGTGTTTTTTGTATGGAGTTTTTTGACGTTTGTTAAAGTCAAAGTAAGATGGTGCAACTTAGTATAGTATAGTATAATATCATTATATAAATTCAGTCATTTCTGTTCTGGGTTCGATTCCCTCATGGAACTTGGAAAGTAAAACGAAAGTACAAAACTTTTAAAGATAGACAAAAATAAATTTGAAATCTTGCGACAAAACTTTTGAGTGTAAATTCGAATTACAACCTAAGTTTAAGATCAACCGACATAAAGTCTAGGTAAGAAATAACACAATATCCACAATTAGGACAGTCTCGGTGGAAACAGTCGTGAGATTCCACATTCGTCATTTTACGTGCAAAAGCATTTTGCCCCCACCTTTAGTACCTATTCACCGCACCAAAATACTCCTTACTTCTGACTAAAGTTTAATGGCGCAACCATGACTCATGTGTGTGCACTTTAACATATGGACTTAAGGTTCAATCTGCGGCCGCTTTTCAGCTCAGCGAGTCACCAGCCAGCATTGTCCGAGCATTACCACACCCAGACACCAATTTGTTAAAGTATAAGTAAGGAACCACGGAAACTAGCTGATAGACTGCTCTTTTGTGCTCTAATGAACGCTTTCAGAGGAACAACGGTACCCTGCCAGATTAATGCTCACCCCACCTTTCACCTCAGTGTTATCTTTATGGGCGAAGCCATTGTTTGTATTGAGCGGTGTCATGATTTGTATTGTCTTGGCGAGTTAATGAATTGACGGTTGCGGCGACAAGTCCAGTAAATTTAGCAATAGTGAACTGGTAATGGCGCCTGAAATGGCCTGCCGGATTAGTGTCGTCGTACTTTAGATGGCTGATATTATTGCGGAGACTAACGCAATTATGGCGCTCGTTAGAATAGAGTACTGTTTTTGATTAGGTTTAATTAAAGTCGCTTAAATTATTTAATGCTTACATAAAACTTAATTTAACGATTCCATTGGTAAAATATAGAAGTAAAAAGATTGATTTAAAATCTGTAGACTTATTGATAGAGCGCTTTCACATATCTATAGGCGTTTTTGTCGCGCGACTGTAGCGCTTCTAAGTCGCGCTGTAATAGCGCGACTCGTATTCATACATAATTTATGTAGCGCTGCAACTGCGCTACATAAATATGTATGGATACGAGTACGCCTATAATGTGAAAACGCTCATAGTCTGCTTCATAAGTATTAGTTAAGTATGATAAACTACGAATATTACTTAGGTACACACGTATAGACAAGTACTTTACTGATAATATTCAAATAACTTTTTACATGGCTGTTTTCGGGATCATCATCATCATCATCATTTCAGCCACAGGACGTCCACTGCTGAACATAGGCCTCCCCCAATGCTTTCCATGTTGATCGATTGGTAGCGGCCTGCGTCCAGCGCTTCCCTGCTACCTTTACGATGTCGTCGGTCCACCTTGTAGGTGGACGTCCCACGCTGCGTTTTCCGGTACACGGTTTTCGGGATAATTTATACAATCAGTGCAAAATGAGCGTAACTGGTAAATTGAATAAAAACAAATCATTAAACAATAGTTTACAATAAAAGACAGAAATAACAAGTTAACATAACAAATTAAACAAATATGCATTGTTAATGGCCGATTTAACATCGAGTTACAGGTAATTAATACCACTGTCCAAGCTAAGTAATCCAATCTACTATCGGATGCCGCAGCATTAATTAGAAAATCATTAAATATTCCTTATAAGCTCGCTTATACGAGTATTCTACGGAACAAGTTCAATTAAGGAACAATGCGGGAAGTCTTAACAGCGTTTTCTAGTTAGGTGCAGCTTGAAAGAAGCAATTAGCCGTAGGTCAGGGCGAGACAATGGCGGTCTACTATTTATGTGCTGCATACGTAAGTATATCGCATAAAACAGTTATCAAAAAGTTTGTAAAAAAATGAGTCTGTAGGTTCTAGGATGGTTGTGGCAAATAAAATAGGGCTACCCCCACGCTTCCCGTGGATGTCGTAAAAGGTAAGCGGACATCTGACTTCTTCAGCCCATTGCCTGGCCAGCATAGGGAATGTAGGTCCAATTCCTCATTATGCTTCCTGTAAAAATTAAATAGAGAGGGTCATGCTCCTGTAGTGAAGACTCTGAAGACTCGTCGTTTCCACCAAAGGACGTCGACTGCTGGAGAAAAGCATCCTTCCAGCAGGTACCTACTTCCCGCGACCTTCTTTAGATAAGACAAATGTCTTAAAACAATACCTATTTCATTATAGAATCTGCAGTAACTAATTAGCAAATCACCGTTTAATATTCCTTATCCGTGCAGGAACAGGTTCAATTAAGGAACAATGCGGGAAGTCTTAACAGCGTTTTCTAGTTAGGTGCAGCTTGAAAGAAGCAATTAGCCGCAAGTCAGGGCGAGACAATGGCGGTCTACTATTTATGTGCTGCATACGTAAGTATATCGCATAAAAGAGTTATCAAAAAGTTTGTAAAAAAAATGAGTCTGTAGGTTCTAGGATGGTTGTGGCAAATAAAATAGGGCTACCCCCACTCTTCCCGTGGATGTCGTAAAAGGCAAGCGGACATCAGACTTCTTCAGCCCATTGCCTGGCCAGCATAGGGAATGTAGGTCCAATTCCTCATTATGCTTCCTGTAAAAATTAAATAGAGAGGGTCATGCTCCTGTAGTGAAGACTCTGAAGACTCGTCGTTTCCACCAAAGGACGTCGACTGCTGGACAAAAGCATCCCGGTACCTGCTCGCATCCAGGTGCTTCCCGTGACATTCTATAGATACGACAAATGTCTTAAAACTACATTAATACCCGTTTCATTATACAATCTGCAGTAACTGTACATACAACATTAATTAGCAAATCACCGTTTAATATTCCTTATCCGTGCAGGAACAGGTTCAATTAAGGAACAATGCGGGAAGTCTTAACAGCGTTTTCTAGTTAGGTGCAGCTTGAAAGAAGCAATTAGCCGCGAGTGAGCGAGACAATGGGCCCGCTAGCTAGTCTACTGTTGCTGTATGCAGGTGACGGGTTAACTGCACTGATACGATAAATAGAACAACAACCTTTATATTCATAAGTAATCTTCCCACCTAAGGCATAAAATATATTAATCTCGTCTAATTGACGTAAAAAATCCTAGGGTTTTTCTGGAGTGACAAACCAAAACTTTTAATGCTTGTTGTGTTGATGGTAATAATGTCAATTGAGTCTCCAAATGAACGTCTCTATGTAAGTGGTTAGTGATTTTTTATCTCTGTCCTGGGTTCGATTCCAATATGGGACATTCGTGTAAAATCTTAGCATAATGGTTTACAATTTAAATAAGTATGATATTGCAACTTTGATTCACATTTATTTTCGTTGATTTTCTAACAGAATTCATAGAGCTCTGTTTCTTTGACTAGGAATACCTTAGATAAGTAGGTACCCAAACCTTTTAGATATAAAAGTAAACCAAGAAAACACAGACACCTTATGCTTTTCACAAAACATACCTACATAAGAACTCCAAAATCACTTCAATACCATTAATTAGTAAAGGCCCTGTCGATAGGACATATTTCATGATCAAATATCGACATTCCCTATACTGAAAGGCCCTCAGTGTACAAAGGCTTTCGCCGAAAATGGTACAACACTTCGCCATCAAATATCGCATTACTGAGACCAGAATTACACGCGTAATTAATTATGTGGCGGCTCTACCTAAAGGTGAGTATAGACTAGAGCACTTGTAACAGAACAACGAGGCGCGTGTGTTACCCATCACGAACCAAACGTCATACATTTCATCATCATCATTTCAGCCATAGGACGTCCACTGCTGCTAGGCCTCCCCCAATGCTGTCCATGTTGATCGATTGGTAGCGGCCTGCGTCCAGCGCTTCCCTGCTACCTTTATGATGTCGTCGGTCCACCATGTGGGTGGACGTCCCACGCTGCGTTTTCCGGTACGCCTTGCTGCCCCATCGGCCGTCAGTTCTGCGTACTATGTGCCCTGCCCACTGCCACTTCAGCTTGCTAATCCGTCGGGCTATGTCAGCGACTTTAGTTCGTTTACGGATCTCCTCATTTCTGATTCGATCTCGTAAAGAAACACCGAGCATGTCATACATTTATTGCAAAATATGTTGTGTCTATACTCACCTTGAGAGCTCGTTTCCGTAATCCAGTTTTGCGGGATCGAATAATGCAGGACCCTCTGAACTGTCATTTATTTATTTATTTATTCATGAATAGAACGGTAGTACCAATTACACTATTCAAACAAGACGTAACAAAGCTCAGAATAACATTTAAGTAATTAAAAACAATTTAACTTAACTTAATTTAGGAAAAGTACATAAATCAGATGCGATTATTTTCATAGTAATCCAAACATGTGAACACGAATGTGTGTTTGAAATTCGAATTACAAATTCAAATGGATCGATTCTTTGCGGCGGGACACTGCTAACTGGATGTTCGTTTCAACGTTAATTAATTGATTAAAACACGTACCTATACCTACTACTAAACGGGATCCTGCAAAAAACAGTTCCTGGGAAAAAGCCCTAATACTTACAACACAATATTTGTGTCCCGACACCTAACACCAGCATCGTCGAGCAGACACTAGTGGATTTCGATGTATTTTATTTGTCCAGTTAATTAAATGAAGGTATATCAAAACAAAAGTATCACTTATTCAGACATCACATGGTTCGTAATTCAATACTGGGCAAAAGTATTGTGTTTAATTAATTATCACAAATGAATTACAATAGCAAGTAAAGTCAATCAATGATGATTTAAATGACATCATAAGAGTAGGTAGAAAATTTTACAAAAACAATGTATGCCACAAATATTCTTGTATGTACCATAATACAATTATTCTGCACCAATCAAGTTTATGCAAAACGTACCATA